ATCCAAAACACAGTATTTCTTTAATTCCAAAATTTGTACAAGTTTACAAATCAATGTACCACCACACAAAGTAGTGAAAGGAAGATATGTTTAACAACGTTTTAACGTTTTACTATATCATAACAATGTTCAAATATTGTTAAATTTGACATAGTATTGCAAGATTTTTTAATATAAAGAATTTATGCTTAAACAAGAAGATACAGATAATACCATTGCTTTCTTTGTTTCTATCCAATGCAATATGTAGCTTCTATAAAATATTGGTGAAATGTTGTATCTAGTTCATATAAGCTTTATTTCCATGAAAATCTTGAAACAAAATGGGAACACAAAGTAAAACAAGACCTTATTAATTATTTGAGTTAATAAATATAAACCTGTTTGAACATTACAGCAAATATATGTTAATTTCACTCAATTTCTCCCTTTCTTTCTATAGATACAGTTTCATAAGTTTTGGTGGGGTTTTTTTTCAGATTTCTGTTAAATAGAAGTTTTAAGCTATTCTGGGAACTGCTTGTTTTTTGTTTGGTTTTGTTTTTAATTTGACCTTCAAAATAGTTTTGTATCATCCTTATAAAATCTTTCAGAATATATATTTTTATTTTCATCACAATCTATGACCCACCAGTGAATATTGCACTGATCTTGATATAATAAGACTACAGCAAGCAACAACAATGGTACTAAATGTGGAAGATCCTAAAGGCAGGAGGCAAGTTTATTCACACTTGTTTTTTTCACCCTGAGTATATTTTCAGTTTAGTTTACAACAATGGCACAGGTCTTAACTCCTGAAGATCATTAAATCCAGAGGATGGGAAAGTGTTAAACACACCATTCACGTGCACCTGACAATCTCATGCAAATGTAGGCTTTTAGCTTGGTTTGCTTTGTCATTAAAGCATCAACAGACATTAAGACATGGGCCAATATTCTGGTCGCTGCTTAGGATGTCAGCAGTGCTCACCCAGGTCTGTGCTGCCAAGTACCCAGTGACAGTGTGGCTTTCCCTACCCTGACTCCAAGCCCTGCCAGCTGCAGACAGTCAGGGAGTTTTGGTTGATTCCCAGGCTGTCAGACTGAATTAGATGTTTTTAGTCTGTTGCTGGCTGGATCTTTTCGTACTTTATGATGATACAAAATTGGGGCTCAGATGGAGTTTATAGTCAGGTTAAGCAACTATTAATTTGAAACAAATTCTCTCATGTAGCTGTAGCATTATTAGTTACAGGTCTGAGTTTGAAGCATCTCTGCAGGAAACCAAGCACTCACTTCACCTGGAAGGAGGGGTCTAATTTCTATAATATCAGGGATACTTCATACCTTTGTTTCACAGCTTTCATTTGGCTTTCAAGTTAAAAAAATGGGTGCTTATCTGATGTGGTTTTTCCATGTCAGCACTGAGGTTGTGGTGCTTCTCTAAGAGGTGCTCAGGTTGGCCAAAGCAGATGGTGGGGCTGTCCTGCCCCACACCACATCAGAGGTCGGTCCAGTCCACCACAGCAAGGGACATGCACAACTGTATGTAAATAATAAACCCAACAAATAAATCAGTCTTGTAGAACTTGCAGTCTTGTAGAACTACAAATATATGAGTACTTACAGTGACTTTGAAGAGATGTTGCTTCTGGTCCTAACATGTTTCAAATCACCAGTTGAAATGGTATTAGCTTAAATAATCATTAGCGTTTAATTTTTTTTTTTTTTTGGTACTTGTTGAGTCAACATATATTGCACAATTAAAAAAAAAATCCAGACAGACTGTATCTGAGTTATAAAGACTAATATGTATTACCTGAAAGAAGAGAGAGGCGAGACACTCTATAACCATTTCAATTTTTTATGTGAAGAAGAAATTAGGATTTGATTAAGCATCCATTCTTTTGCACCCACAGCAACATGCTGTGATATGTGATTATACTGATAAATATTATATGTGAGATAATTTCAGCAGCCATTACTTCAAGCTGCTCATTTTCCTTTCTGTGGATGTAGACATACCTGACTCTGTGGGAACATAGGTAACATGTATGTAAGGTTGTCATATCTTGTGCATGACATTTAAATGATTCATCCAACTTGATAAAAATTATCATACTAATCCCTCTTAGCCAACTGGACTGTACTATACTTTGCAAGAAAAGGGCTATTTTTTCTTTGCCTGTTTAACATTTTATTTTTAACTCTAGGATTATTAACTCATTAAAAATGAGTTAATAATTAAAATCCTATTGCCTAGGATTATTAACTCATTAGTTTCTCAGGACTTACCCTGATTTTTTTCCCTTCTAGAAGGCATGCAGCACCAAAGCAGGTATATGGTGTAATATTTCCAATGGTTTGTTGATGCAACTGGAAAACATTTGAACTTATCAATACAGACAACTAGGAGAGGCAGCAGAAATTGACTTCAGGCTTCTTAAAGCAAACTTTCTTCACTGCACGTGGTGACATACCAAATTCTCTTTTTTTTTTTTTATGGACAATTCTAGGTCTGTGTGTGGATACAATACACTATAGATAGTGTGTAGTTCTAATTCTGCTACATCTTATAATAATCTTATATAGTATACTACATAAGATTTTACATAAGTTCCCATAAAGGTAATTCTTTTTGTCCAGTTACATAAATGTGCTTAATTAGTTTGCTGAAGTGTGGGGCACACAATGCATCTGATTATTATCAAAATAGCAAGAAATTAAAAATTAACTCAGCATCTCTACCAAGGCTAGAGTCCTGCTACTAGAAATGGCTTGGAGGGAATACTTAAAAACCTCCAACCCCAGAAGGAAGACAGGGAAAGCCTAAGTAATATCTCACCTACACATCTTTATTTCTTATGACATAACTTCAGCTTGAAGACGTCTAAGCCAGAAGTTGTATCCTCATCTTTGTGTTATTACTCTTAAAACAATAAGGTTGGCATGACTTTCCATCCATGGTCCAGGCCTAGTATAGAGGAATGTCTTCTTGCAAAGTCAATTTTTTACTTCATCCTAAGAGTTTAACAAGTTTTAATTTGCTTGTGTAACCTGTGTGTACCTTGGCATAGTGGTGGAGCTACTGTCTTATATAAAATATTTATAGTCTGACCTTACCTTTGTCTGAGTTATGCTGCCTGTCTAACAGCTGTCTTTCTGCCTTCAGTATCTTGGCTGCTTTCAAATGTTTCAACGTGATTAATGCAACACTGAGATCTATTTAATTGCTCCACTCATTTTCTTTGAAGTGAAATACTGTGTTTTATATTTAAAAGCCAACATAGTAGACCTTTTTATGATTTTGGACACACATTCCTAAATTGGCAACATCAGCAAAAAAAAAGTTTATGCAGAACTATTCTAGTGTAACTTTTGAGTATACTCTTCAAATTCTAAAAATAAAAATTAGCATTCTACCAGAATTGCTGACAAACCTAATGCCCTGCTAATTCCTGTATGATTTAGTGCCAAAGATACATTTTCACTGCTTCCTTGATGTCAAAGTGGTGTTTCTATATTTATAAAGTGATGGACTTTCCAGAAGCTTATTTTCTGCAAATGGAATCCTAATGGCTCTTATTGATTCCATTAAAAAAGGAAGGTGCTGCTTCCTTTTCTTTGCTACAAGCATGTAGATGGCTTTTTTTATTTGGTTATTGATATTTTGTGGCTTGTACAAAGATTTCTATCAAAGTGTAATGGATCCTAACAGTAATTTAAATCTTACCTTTTTTAAAAAAGCTTTCCCAATGTCTTTAAAAATAATAGAGTGACAGCTGTTGGAAAGCACTCTTCTGTTACTAGAAGTGCTCTTCATTAAAATAATCCACCTCATTTATGCAAAACTGGTCTTGTTGTAAATAGCTCTAAAGAGGGATATCTAATTATAGCCACCAAATTGCCTTCCTGCCTTTAGGCTGACATCTCTAACACCAACTTTCAATTTTATAAACTAAACACATTCCACAAGAATCTATCACAGGTTCTGAGGTAAAAATCACATCTACACAGACCTTTTATTGCCAGAAAAAGAAATACTTACACTTCATAATTAAAAACTGAACAGGACACATAAAAGACAAAAATAAATTGTAATATGTACACACATTAGAAAGGATAAATAGCAAATATATTGTAATACTGCATTAAATGTATGCATATGTGAATTCCAGACCCACCCCCCCAATGTTGTGTACACTAATTCAAAGGATAAATAAGTGCTAATATAGGACAGAGAATTTCTTAGTGTAAACAATGCCACAGGCTTTTTAATAGGCCTTTGGGCCAACTTAGAAAAACCATGTATTGCCTTTCACACTCCATACCACTTAATTTTAATAGTACTCTATTCACATGTACAATTTCAAGATAGTATAAAAAAATTAGGAATCTGAGAAGTATTCTTCACACTCAACAAAAACAGGCTGGAGACACTCCAAGGCTTTTTCTTTCACTTTTAAAGGATCACTAGCTGAAGACATACTGATTCGTCTGGGAGTTCTTCCTCAATGCAGCGCAAGAGTCCTTAAATGTAAAAAGTTACATTAGTAATCACTGCTCAGGCCTATTAATGAAGATTTCTGTGCCTAATTTCAATTCTGACTTTGGATTCACTCTAGCATGATGTCAAAGCTGTCACCACTTCCTGCCATGGATGACAAAGATAATGATCCCTATGGTTTGAATGGCAAGTGACAGCAAGGAGTGTTTCTAAACACAAAGCATTTCATTGCATTCATAGTGTCACATTATTTGTCCTTCAAATCCTGTTTATGTATCTCTGAGGATCCAGAGTATGTCAACATTAAAAACCAAAAAAATATATTACTTGTTCTGTATGAGTGTTCCGTGTGTTTTCCTGAAGCATGCGCACTGGGATTTAAAAAAAGACAGTTGAGTTATCCTAGGACTAATTTCTGGCAACTGTATTTACTGGCACCAAAGAAAATTATAGTTCTTCCTAAAGTACAGATGACATGAGGACTTATGGCTTGCTATCTTTTATCTCTATCTTTTTAAGACAGGCTGCAGCCACTGAAAAAACCTACATGCACAGTTGCTTAGACTCTCTTTCTTTTAAAAAATAATTCTTCCCACTGGCCAAATGCATTGTTGAGCAGTCCCATCCATTCCACTTAGCTCTGTGGACTGACAGACAAAGTCTCTTTTCCCCCAGCTCTCAGCTCTTTTGTCACCCCCTCCCTCTTTGCTACCCTCAGTCCCAACCCCGTGAAGCCCGATGAGATCCTGGCAGCAGGCTCTCCAGCGATTGTCTTCAGCACTTCCTGACTCGTGGAGCTCTGACAAAGAAGTCCACTGGCTTGTCCATGTGGGCTGGCCACAGAACCGTGGTTTGTCTGGACATAGACAAACACTTCCTGTGGGTTCTCCTCCTAGACTAATCATTTGTCCATTGACAAAGACAAGGGCCACTTTCTTCATTAGCCTCAGGGTAAGCTCTAGCACACACTCATACTCAGTCAAGTTCCAGTGCAATTTCAGGTCTTCAGGACGCAATGATTTCCCCAAAGAAAATTGTTACTTGAAATATGGGATGTAGTCAAACAGTTATGGACGATGAAACCTGAAAAGACAAATTAAAATCTTAGAATTGTGTTATTTCAACTGACAATGACACTGATCCTCATCCTGTTCTCACAGCTGTTTCCTTTTGTGGGCCAATTATTCCTGATTTTCCTGATCTGTGTTGGTTTAGAGTCAGACCTGTTATTTCCTGCTGTCCATCTCTCTCTAAATAGAAAACCAAACAGAGATTTGGTGTGGCTCAAGCCCTGGTGTGTCGCTGTCTGTCCGTGCCATTAACCTGCCAATGTGATCCCTGGCAGAGTTTTGCTTGGGTCAGCCAGTGCTTTCAGGTACTGCCTGGGCATGGTTGGGGTTAGCACAGGACAGCAGGCAGGCTGGGAATGGGGGGACATCACCCTGTTTTGAGGTGAGAGGGACAGGTTAACTGCATGGATTCAAGCTGTGCCAAGCTTGCTGGCCTCAGGGCCAGAGAAGAGTCTCCAGTCTGTTTGCCAATACAGATTTAGCTACAATTGCATCCATTACTTGCAGATGCTGTCAGTAAGTATTATTAGAAAAGCTTTGCTAAACCATAAATATTAAAATTCTGGGATTTAAATCCTTGTGTAAAATGAGGCTAACAAAAATTTTGTATTTTCTTTTACCTAAGCAGCAAATTTTATAGCATTTCAGATGCTTTCTTCTTATTAACAGCAGTGAACTGAGGTACATGAAGACCCAAATATACCTCACTTTTTTAGGCTTTTAGGTAGGGCATGCACATCACTCCAGATTGCCTGTATGATGGCTAGAGAAATGGGTTGCTCCAAAAGGTGTCACCAACCCTTTCTATAATAAGTTAGGAACCTACAGCAATTGAAATTCTAAATCATGTTAAATGTAATGAATCCAAGCAAAAGGGTAAGGAGGGCACCAGTATCAGGTTCTCAGTGTATAGACATATATCTCTGTTTAAATGGCTTAAAAAATTTATCTGTACATGAAGTAGTAAAAGGTGCAGCAGCTTGAAAAAGACATAGATAATGATACATCTACACAATAGATTTACCTAAGTTTTTGTTTGACACATTTTCTCTCGATAGTTCCACACATTATCCCTGTAAGTTGATTCAATACAATACAGGGATGCATTTCTCAAATGAAGGAGGTGTGCACAAAGCCTGACATTCACAACTAAGCAGCTGATCTGCTAAATGAGGGTTCAGAGGATTGCTAAAAAGACACAGGGGTTTTGTATTTTGTGGAAAAACAATATACTGGACCATATATAGCATTTTCATTAGAAACACTTAACGAACACCTGCTAATATGCCCCTCCCAAACTTGTATTGACTTCTCTATTTTTAGAAACTAATTTTCTTGGATTTTGCTATGAAATAACAGAAAGAATCAGTCTAAATTACTACGACTAGAAAACCAGTCTATTGACAGTCATTAGAGTAAATGATGAACAATGAAACCCATTGTTCTTTCTTTTCTAAGATTGATATAAATTTTTAACATTTCAAATATATTGTAAGTACTGATTATAATATTAAATCATCTATATTTAATTTGCAATAGTATAAGAAACCATATACTATAAGTTATTTTTGTTTAGTAAGCACCCTCCTTGTTGTCTCAGTCTATCACAGAATAGTCTTTGCTAATCAGGTGCCAATGCAAGTGCCTTTTGGTTTGCATTATCTCAGTGATCTTGAAAATAATTAAAGTATGAGAAATTAATTCTCTGGCTAGAGACTTCTGTCTATGGTTTTCTTAAATCACTTTTGTTGTATCAATCCAATATTACGTAGCAGAAAACATAATTTTTAATGAGATGTCCCAGGGAAAATGGGATCTCTTTTTATTTTCAAAATTGTAATTGACTTAAAACATCTGCATGTTATTCTGCTCTTAATTATCTTTTTCTAGTGTTACTCTTTTGACTTCTGTGCAGTAACTCCACAACATGACCAGTGAAACAAAAGAGCATGGATAAGGAACAGAAAAAACCTGATTTCCCGCAGGTTATAATTCTTTCAGCACCCTATGGAATCATTGCCTGTATTTATCACAGTTTAGCTGTTCCTATTTTTTACTCCATTTTTAAAGGCCCTCCTTGAAGAAAATAATTCACTTTTTTACTGGTTTGTCACTCCACAAGATTCCTGGTTCAGCTTTCAAGAATCCAGTTGTAATCAGCCTCAACTGTTCTCAAAGCTCATGAAAAAATATCCAATTCTTTTTGTGTGAATCATGCCTGTATGAATCTGTACTTAGGATTCAATACTGCAAAGCAACTCAAGAAACACAACAATGTAAGCAGGGGGTTGGTTTCCATACCTGCTATTTTTATTCTCTCCCTTGGGATGCTCTTTTTTAAAAATTAGTATTTTTATACATTCTGAAAAGATATAGTATCTGCTACCTGAAGAGAAAATGACATCAGAAGCCAAATGAAAAAATACATCTCCATGTTTGAAAAATACATTTTCTAGTGTCAGAATGCAACACTACATTAAAACCCTGCATCCTGGTTCACCTTCTGGCTTAGGTTTGCTGTCTGTGAAACTGGTTTGAATTTTTAAAAATTAATTTGTTTTATGTTGTATCTACACAGAAGTGATAAGTTATTATTTTTAAAACTCCATGTTTTGGTGAGAAAGAAATCACTGAAGTTGTGAAATCAAACAGTGAAGTAGCAGATACATGAAACACCCATAATGAATTTTCCTTGTGACGCATTCTTTAATTAGGTGATTCACACTCACTAGCTCAGATCCTGGTTTGGTTGAAACAGTAGGAGGAAACAGAAGGGACTCAGTCTTAGACAACTGGTTTTGTTTGACTTAATTTTCTGCGGAAGCAAAGACATTAATACTATGTTGGCCAACCCTAACATCAAGTTTTGATAGCTGGTGGCAAATTTCAGCCTTTGTAACTTCCAAGAAAAATGAACACATGCCATCTAGATTTCAGAAAGTGTGTCCCTCCCCCTAGGAATAATTCTGCCCAATTTGAAAGCCTGCTAAAATACTGTGGACACTTCAGAGCTCCTTAAAATAACAATGCTTCAGACAACATCTTGGTGATATCCAAAGCAGAGAACAAAACAAATCCACATTAACACATTAGAAGTGGCAACAAGGCAATCTATCGTGTTCCCCAGAAAGTGCTGCCAGGAGCCTTAGTGACCCTTAGAAAGCTCACCAAGACACTGGTGAGCTTTTCTGAAGTTCAAAACATCATCTAATTTTCACTTAGGAAACACATCTACACAAATGTATACTTTAATGAGCAAGGGAGTGCTGCCAGAGGAGGAAACCCCTTTTATTTTGTGTGCTTGAAGATTGCTAACTTCATCTGTAAGAACTGAAGGGTTCTTGCAAGGGTTCTTGCATTTTTTAGATTCCCCAAACAATCTTTTTCTACATAGTGACCAGTCACCTGCACTGCTGTAACAGCTAGAGATGGCATCAGCAATACTGGGAATTCCAACAGAATCAGTGGTGGGATTCAAGGGGACTCACGATAGGAATCCACACAAATCATGACACAATGGCAGAGAACTTGCAGAAAAGCAGAGGCTTGCTGTCATACTCATTTCTCTCACACTTACACAAGAGGAGGGATTCACTCACCTGGTAAATTGCCGACTTTCCTCGTGTACTTCCATTTCTGTGCTTTTGAATTCATTCAGTTCTTTCCGTATTGCTGCCTAATAAACAATAATGATATATGCAACCGTAAGAAATATGAATTTTTAGGAAAATAAAGAGTCTGAAAGAAACGTGGCCCTACTACTGCAGGTGTTTTAGAGTTCCCATTTCAATCTGCAATGGGGGAACAAAGCCCACACTGAGACAGAGCACTTCTACTGTCAAAAATGGGCAAGGGGTTGGAATACCCTGACAATCACTTGCTGAGTAGGCAGACAGGAGGGGATTCTATCTCCAGGCACAGTCCTAAGGAGCTGGTGAGTCACTCTGCCAGCACAGGCACTGTGTGCACAGCAGGGTCCTTGTATGTCCCCTCTGGAGACAGGACTTCAGGAATGCAAGATGTACAGCATTTTTTTTAAGTGGAATTAGTCACTTGGTTTGATTAGTATTATGTAAAGTGCCATGAATCATTTGGACATTTCAGGCTTGGATTTTTAGGTGGCAGATAACAAAGCACAGAAGAAATTCAGTACAGTTTGTAAATGCCATGTTGCTTACATTAAGAGAATGATAAGCAATTTACTTCATCAAGTAATAAATACAGTTTCTGAAATATTCAAATGTGTACTACAAGAGGTTTTGTTTCTATGCCACACACCTTCCTACCTTCACTGTTAAAGGAAATGAGTTTATTCTTACTCATTCTTTTCTTTCACCACTTTAAATAAAGACAGTATAATTTCATTAATCCCTAAAGAAATGTCATCTAGTGTGCATGCCTTTCAGTGCAGAACAGACAAGAAGCATGATAAAATTATAGCATCAGCAGGCTGCAGTCTTTTAAATGATAAACTTTGCTTTAAGCAGGGGTGGTCGTGTTTAGCCACAACAGCATGCTTACAAGAGGCTGCTGTAGAAACAGTGATTTCTGAGCACCAAATCAGCAACAAAGACAGCAGAGCTCCAGCTCTGTAATACAGCTGTAATACAGCTGTAGGACAAGGGAGTGCTCCTACTGGAATTAGAAGAATGATTTCTTTGGGAAAAAAAAAAAAAAGACAAGGGAGTTTCCACACAACCCCAAACCTGCTTTTCTGCTAAGGCCAACAAAGTTGGGGCTGACAGGATCAGCCTTGGGCACCTGTAATTACAAAATGAATTGAGACTAAAAACTGCTACCCTGAAGTAGGTAGGAAACTCCATTGTTTTCTTCTAGTGCAGTTTACCTTGGACCTCTGTCAAAGCGGAGGTGCTGGGTCCTCTAACCTCCCACAGACTTTGGGAGGACTAGACAGTGCTCAGCATCTCCCATAACCAACATCTACAAACACTTCTGACTATATTTTTAACTACTTCACCTTGACCTGATACACCTGTCAGATGAGCTGTCATTTTTAAAATATTAATATTAAAATACAAGCTGAAATACAATCAGTAGCTTCACTACCTTTAGCCAAAATAGAGTGGGTTCTTGCACACACCACTTTTCATGTTAAGCACATCTCATGGGAGTTCCATAAAGTCTATAGGTCTTGGTTCAGACCCAGTGCTTTAAGAGCCAGCACTTTGGGCTACTTGAATCTTACAGCTCTCCTTTCATTAAGTAGTATAGGAGGGAAATGGAAGAGTACCTTATGGTAATCTTTGACTAATATTTTTTAAAAATGAGAATCACAGGATCATTTGTCTCATCTTTTGTAATCAGGCAGCAGAGCTTTATTAACTGTAGGATGTTAGGGGCAAACTTCCCAAGAAGCTGTGCTGCATGCACGTGGTCAGTTCCTGCACTGGTGGTTATGGCCAATAACCTTGAGGATGGAGCAGCTTCTACCTTTTTTTCACTCTGATGAGTGGTAAAAGCAACTCCTGGTAGCAGTGACGAAGACTTCTGCCTGCAAACTCCTGCCTGAATTCCCACAGATCAGGGCCACCTTTGGTAAACTTTTATCTGTCTTAGCAAGGATTTAAAAATTAGAAAAAAAAATTTAGAAACTGTGGCCCAAACTGTCATAATGGAGGTGGAAAATAGGCTCATAATAGGCACCTGAGTGCGTTTTCTTAGCTGCAGGCAGTAGATGCACAGTAGCACCATGACAATCTTGCTGTCACCAGCAGATGTCATTTGTGATGAATCAAGAGAATGTAAAAGAGAGGAAAGCTCCCCAAAAGTGACAGATGAAAGCATTTTCTTATAGTCTACATTTGTGCCTTGCCTTGTCTGCAGGAGTTAACCTGGCCCAAGGCTTGTCAGCACGACGGTCGTAATCCGGAGATTCCGTGACCTCCACGTACTCGTTAAATCGAAGGATTCTTCTCGCTTGAAGTTCAGCCACTGTAGGCCTCAGACTGAGCTGTAAGCGGGAGGCAGAAAATAGTATGCTTAATAAGATGAAATAAAATAAAAGAGGAGGGTATGATGTAACCTCAAGAGGACTTTAATGGTATTTCTAAATAGGGTCACTTTCAGGTGTCTAAAAAAAGGCACCATCCTGGGAGTGCTGCGCAGGAATGGGGAGGCAGCCTAACCTGATTTCTTCAATTATAAAAATAGTCTTTGTCGAGCAGGTCACAGAGAATCATGACAGTTATCCCTGGAATGTTAATTGTGACTTTGCAACTGGCACTACCCCACTAGGCCATCTGCATTAATGGTTATACCGTGTTAAAACTGTAATACCAAAAATACATGACATTTGGAAGTATCTGCCTAAAAAAAAACTGGTTTGGACCATATTTGGGGTCATTATAATGCCAAATTGTTTCAGTCACCTCAAACAATATTCACTTTAATTAACTAAGGATGATCATATTAAGGAAACTGTATTTTTGCAGAGACAGGCAGACCAGGGATACTCATGAAAACTCCTCCCATCCTCTCCCAGAACTGTATCTGTAACTGCTCCATTTCCAGGGACAATGAGCATGATCCCACCCACAGAAGCTAAGACCGCTGATGTGGTTAGAAAAGCACTGAAAGGGTATCTTAGAGGTCACATTGTTTTGCTGCCTTCTCCACTGCTCTAGGGAAGAGTGGATCTACACGTGTGGCTGCTCTTGATCATCTATGACAGGGGTGGTCATGCTACAGAGGAAAACTGTCACTTGTGTCCCCTGCTTAGAAACAGCGATATGGCCAGACTGAGTATGCTTCTCCAGGTGTGGGGAACTGGACAGGATGGGGTCTCCTTGGCTTGTACTGCTTTTTAAGCAGATTTCTAATCTGGGAAAATGACTGAAGGACATTTGCAGCAATGTCTATACACTGATTTTTAGATTCTTATGAAACATAATTCTATGTACAAAAATACACAATACAAAAAAGCACATCATCACCTTTCTACTGAGTCTACGTTTTATTTCTCTTTTGGCTTCCTGTTCCTCTTCTTCATTCTTCTCTGTTTTTAGAAGAGATAAAAAGGAGTGAATATTTAAGTATTATAACTGCACATACTGTATTTCTCTTGGTTGAAAGCTTCAGAACTCCCAAGTCCTGGCTCATGTTTCCTCATATTTCTGGAAGATGCCGCATGTGTTGTCTGCTTTTTGGCTTTTGTCTGCTCTCATTCTTTTCCCTATCCGCATTTCCCCTGATTCTGTAGACATCTCAAGTCAACTGTGGGTCACGAGCACAGCAAAGAGAAGGTGCCTGTCATTTCCTTTCTTGTACCAGCAAGCAAGTACCCTGAAAGAGTTGCTTGATGTTTCAATTACTTATTTTAGCATTACAATCACTGTTGCTTTTACTTCCAACATTGATTTTAGAGTAAGAGGCTAATTTATAAATGCCAAGTGAAAATTTTACTCTGAGTATTTGAATTACCCAAGTTTCTTCTGCTGCTACAGGACATGAAACAATGACATTTGTTTCATGGTCATTTGCCAGCAAATCAGTTATTATATAATTTTTTTTCTGGTTTTATAACGGAAGGATATGATCCAACACTCAAGCCCTCTTGGTTAAGGGCCACTGGCTGGACCAAGTGAACCAGTACAGCAGAAAATTATGTCCATTTTTAGAATTTATATGGGCATATGAATGAAACAATTTCCTTTTAACAAATTTCTATTCTCACCAAACTTGATTTCTTGACTGCCAGTGAAAAGCACACTTAGAAAGACACGTTCATGTGGGCTCAGCATATTTTTAATTGATGTATGGTTTGAAGGACAGTATTTGCCCTTTCAGTCCAATTCTGATGGTTATATACAAAGTTTTGTGGCTGAAATATCCCACATGGAGAAATACATAAAATTCTGATCCTGTTTTATTCATGGCTGGGGATTACAGACTCTGCATTACAGTTCAAGGCTAACTATAAATTTAAAGAAATTAATTTGTTCTGGATACAGCCAACTTGTATAGATGAAAAGGGAGTTTTAAATCCTGGTATAGTTGTATTTGCTCTGTTTCCTGTGGCCAGCCTGCTGTGTTAGTAGAGGTGACCTGGCCTGAGGAGAATTTCTGTGTAATGACTTTCACACTGGAGAAAATGCTACGACAGGACACCTCATGGTACTGACAGATATCTTTTGCTTCTCAAATGCTTTTATATAAGAAGAATATCAGGGAAAGGAGGAGAGGACAAATTATAAAAATAAAAAAGTAAGAAGGGAAAAAGTGGGAAAAAGGCAGTGCTTGCCCAAGGTCTTCTCTGTGAGAAGACTCCAACACCAACATCAGGTTTCCAAGAGCAAGGTGCAATCGCACAGGCTTGCTGGCAGGATTAGGTTGGATTTCAGGTTGCTGGTGGTGTTACTGAGATACTGAAATATGGATCTAATTTATGGTTTATTAATTGCTTTTCTCTTAAATTGAAAAGAAATTGATAGCCTGTTTCTATAGAGGAACTGTAAATGGACTCAAACTGAAGAATAACTGTAACTGTTATAGATTAATCTACATTTTAATTTTTTAAATTAATGTATCTATCAATAAATAAGTTGGGTATATTTAAGGACTTATAACTTTAAAGGAAAACTAATCTCATAATATCCTCACCGAAAAAAGTCAAAAGGTCTTTAGCTGTTTTGGGACAGATAAATCATCTGTAGGCTTTTGTTTAAACATCCTGTCTTTGCAATGAATAGACACAGTAGCTGAGGTAATTAAACACAAACTATTACTTTGGGGTTCCATTCACTTGGGAATCATGTGACATAAAAAATTTTGTCCCCTCATGAATGGAATTGCTTAAGTCCTACCTCAGACAATCTCCAGTAGCAGACATAGAAGGAAAAAAGACAACTGAATGTACACATCACTGTACTGCCCTTTCCTTACTTTAGCTTGTGAAGTATGTTGTGCATTATTTATATCTTGGCCTTTCTTTGCTATCTAAACCACAGTGTCTTCTAAGAAGCAGCAATAAGATGCTTCATGTAAGAAACAGGGGCTCATGCTGCTTAATGTATATCTTAATGAAGAACTACCAACAGCATGGCACCTTAAATAGTGTTTCACTGTATTTTGGGGGAGGATAAAATGCCTTAAAAATCTTTCTCTAGACATTTAGGAAGGTGGAAGGCTAACTGCCTCTCCCAAGCTGTGAAGCCAGATCCCTGTGGGGAGCAGATGACTGCACAGTGGGATGGCTAGACAAGGGAAAAACCCCACAAAAAGAGCAAGTATCTTAGTGACCGGGCAGAGGGTCTAGGTACCCCTTGGAGCAGGCCATCTTCTGGAGGATATTTCCAACAGGAGGAACCAGGAGCTTCTTTATATCCTGGGAAAAGCAGGAGAGGATCAAACCCATGGGGAACAGACAGTCTTCTGCATGAAAGGTCAGGGACAGGATTTTGTACATTCAAGTTGGTTTACTTCTAGGAATAAAACTCAAGAGCTAAAGGAAATGGACTGAAATTTTGTGGCTGCTAGTAATATACTGAATCTGCTGTTTGGCCCGTGGGCCCCTTTAGGTATAAGTCTGGCACTGACTTGTACCTAAAGCACCAATTTCCCACCTCCAGCCTGCTGGGCAGAGTCTTGCTTTAAGCCTGGTGCTACAGAAATGCTGCCTGGATACAAATTCCTACAAACAGTAAAAACTACAGTGTGCTTTTGGTCTTTTAAGGTAAAAGTTTTGAAAGTTGCTGTAGGGAGCTAAGAAGATGTGTGCTGCTAAAAATAATGGGTCTGGTGCTCCTGGTTCCTGTAGGTGTTGTGGAAAATTCCAGCCAGAGAGCCAAGATTTGGCTGCAGGTATGAAGTGACTCACTTGGCCAAACAGGAACACATTAATGCACAGGAAAACACTTATCACTGCTTTCCACCTTAAAAGCAGATCTAATCTGTATGATGTGGAGAGAGAAAACATAAACACAGCGTTCTCAGCTGCAAGTCCCCTCCTCAGATGTCCTGCTGCTGCCCTACTGGCAAAGAACCAGCCCAGCGAGTGCCCTTTGCTTGCAGAAGTCTCTGATTAGATCCCAGCAAAACTACGGCTTCCCTCCTTCCCTGCCTGCAATTCCTAGGAGGTCAAACTGGGATTTGACTCCTAATTGAAACAATTTTATTTAGCATCAGTTATTGTGGCCGTCAAGTTAAATAATCCACCAGTCAAAGCCAAACAAGCAGCTTCCTTGTCATCTATACATTATTGCTCCTGCAACTTTTACCACATTACATCTGGTCACCTTCTGTTCTGTCGGACATTTGTTTAGTAGCACAAGGGGAGAAGAAAAGAGACAAATTTTCCTGCCTGAGGACTGCTCAATTCTTGACCAAAAAATACCCCTGGAGCATAAAACCAAACTTTCCATTGTGTCCCTATGGGATTAGCTATGTTTAGAGTTCTCTGTGGGCTTGCTAAGAAAAGAGAAAGAAAAGACAAACAAAGCACTTGCTCCTTGCAGTGCTCTGAAATGCACAGAGTGGTTTCTCTTTCCTGGTTTTACAAGCAAAGATAACCATTAATATTCTTTAACAAGCATTGAAAGCTAAACCCCATTTTCTACAAAGCCATTTCTGGCAGGCATGCAGGTGCACTGTACAAGAAATTCACCGTCCCTTACAAATACAGGAAAAAAATACAGTTATCTTAATCTGAAATTCTTGGAAGACTAAAAAGTTTTTTTGCCATAATGCTATACTATAAATACTGTTGGTTCAAAGCCAATGTGCAAGAAGCCTGCCTTTATAAAAAACACAGGGCTTTATGTATTCCTTCAAGTGGACTCTTAAGTTGTCGTAACTTTGTTTTAGTGTGGGAAGTCTCAGAAGTCTGGATAGTTTTATCCAAACAGTTTTTAAACAAATCCGCCTGCAATGTCTTGCCATCGTACTTGGAAACAGGATTTTCAGTAACTGGTTTATCTGGAAATACTATCAAAACAAAGCTTCTTGCAAAACAAACTTGCTCACTAACTGGAAATACAAAAAAAGAAAAAAAGTAGGGATTTTTTTCTGAACCTCTTAGAAGATTTGGGCTGAACTTTATCCTGAAGTAAACATTTGGACCTTTACCACTTAATGTAACCTCGAAGTCTGATAAATATTACTCAAAACAATACATCCCCTTAGCTGCAGTTTACATACACACAATAATATAACTCTGCCCATCCACAGCTTAAAAAATATGAGGAAGGAAACTTTATGAAAGAAATCCCAACTTACTCACAAAAGCTCACTACACCAACAAAGGCATTTAAGATGTGTAAACATTTTCAAATGATCCACAGGAAGGAATGGCAATAATTTTGATGTAAAGTATAAGTGCCTTACAGCTTAGAGAAAACTTGCATCCTGAATGGACTCTGAGTCAGACTCTCATCAGAAACCCTGTCTTGCTTTTGGTTTGCTTTGGTTTTAATAGATCACTTTCAACTTGAAATATTCTATATCTCAGTCATGAGCAAAAAGCAGTTCCTCCACGTGCTCACAAAGGTCTCTGTGACTTTTTTTGTGATTTACAATTCTGCTTCCAAGCCTTTATTTTTCACTCTCCCTGGCCTCTTTAAGACACCCCCCAGCAGCAGCAGGGGAGGATGGCAGGAGGCATGGAGTGCAAAGCCTGGTGCGCTGCCAAAAGCTTAAAGTAAACAAGATGAAACAGGAGAAGAAATCTATTAACTGCTTTCCAGTCTTGAGCTACTTACTGCAAAAGCAGTGAATGGAATAAACACTGGCAAAAGGGGCTATTGAATACATCACAGGTTCGCTGCTGGGTTGGTCACCTTGAGATAAGCGAGAAAGGGCAATAAGGGAGCCCAGCTGGTGCTCCCAGCTCAGTGGCCATATCCTGGCCCACCAAAGATGTTTTGGATTTACCTTTCTCACATAGTCCAGCACGAGAAGTTTGTCATATATTAAAAAAAGTTCTTATTTCCAATTTTATCTTTATTTATCTATGAAATTTATAGGTTTGGAAATTAGAGTTTTAGAAAGTCTATTCACATTATGTGCCGGAGAGGAGGCCCCTGATCCCTCTCCTGTGCAAGCACGAACTGCAGCTTCCCGTTTTAGTAAGACATAGCACTATTTGGCATTTGAGAGCTCAAACAATAGTAGTAAGATTTTATTAGCATTTTATTATCAGGATGGTTTGCCTGAAAGCCAAAAATTGCCCTCTCCCTGATTTGCTAGCCTGAGCAAGTGACAGAGTCATCAGTCCATGGCTGCTGTCAAGTAAACATCCCATTTTCTTTTCTTCCCTTCCCATTAGCATGCTACACATCAGGGCTGACACCAGGGTTGCACAGATGAGCTCCAACTTTACTGAACAATTGCTGGAAATTACAGCATCATACCAACTCTTTGATCAGGTGTGAGAAGTTCTCATGCCTTAAGAGGTGTTTTGTTTGCTATTTGTGTGATTTTTGATTTATTATTATAAAGTGTCTTTTCTTCATTTATTTCTTCTACTTAACCATCAAGTACTAATCACCTCTGCAAGATGAACACAGGACTAGGTGGAACTGGGCACGGCACCTATTGCACTGTGTGTTTAGGTAACATCTTTATTATGGAAAGATTCATAAAGGAAGACAAAACAATGCTTGTTCTGAAGAGTTTGCCAGCCAAAGAACAGGAGCAACAAAAGTAAATGGCAGAATAGGTATAAAGGGTAAACATCTAATGTACTTCCTCCACCCCTGACTGTTTGAATTACAGACTTTTTTCAGCAGGGATATGAGGAAGGATTTAATCAATGGGAAGATAGTGAGAATCTCATGCAGGTTTCAGTACAGAAGACATTTATGTCAGAAGTGGATATGAAGGTCAGCATGCTGAAGTAGTTGGCATATACCTATTGACTTTCTGCTGAACACTTTGCCTTTCCTCTTCCTACTCCTCCTTCCAACCTCTGCCCTTCCATCCCACCTGCACTTCCAACTGATATTCCTTTCTTCTCCTCCTCATAAAAATCAGGTGCAAGGTTAACTGGCCTAGAACTATTTCTAAAGGGTATTTAAGTCATTCCTGGTCTTTGGGGCCAGCTTCAAGAAGTGAGATTGTGACAAGTAAAATTTGGCATACTCAATAATTGGAATTTTCAAAGCTACAATTACAGGTTAGTGTATAAATCAAGAGTTGACACATTATTTTCTAGAACATGATTTCTCTCTAGTTATGATTCTAATACTGGAGCAACATTGATGGGCTTCCATATGAATCCAACAGATGCTCCCTTTCTAAGCAAATACTATATGAAACCCGAATGAAATACTTACGCTTCAGGATATTTCTTTGCTCCAGCTCTTCAGTTGTGGGCCTCTGGCTAAGTCTCCTGTGAGAAAAAAGTAAGTGGCTGATTTAAAGCCAGATCTAAATGACACGAGGATTTGTAATACAGCTTAAAAAATGTAATTTCTGGAAGTAATTTCCAGGCAGTTACAATAACTGCTCATGTAACCAGAGTGGCCATTTGTTTTAAAAGATGTAGTGTTGCCATTTGAACACACGAATAATTGATACTTGAATAATATTACAGAATTTGTACCAGCAAATTTAAAATCCTCACAGGTATAGTTTCATTAATAAATCCATGTATCTTCTTTGTTAGCAAGTACCATCATTATAATCAGATGTGCAATTGTTAGATTATTATCAGATATTCTGAATTAATTTTGATATTTTTGATCTTTTATAATCTGACTAAATTTTTTTAAAAAACCAAAACCAACAAAACCCATAAGCTGATCATTCCTCATTAATGTGTATGTACAATACAAATGGGAGCTTTACCTGAAACCTAATTTTATTTAGTTACCTAAATATAACAACTGCCATTACAAAAACCCCAAACTGAGATATTAATTTTCTGATTTGCAATGGGGGGAACATGGTTGATGTTGCCTCTGCATTTACTAAACAAGTCCACTTGTTCACTTGAGGAAAAGAGCAAGAAAAATTTCAGCAGTAAAACTTGTTTTGCAGGTGTGTTCAAGATAGGCGTCTCTCTGTTCATCAGCACTCACACACTTCACTACAGACTGTCTTTAGCCTCATGACACTCATCCAATTCAAATCACCCTTGGACTTACGGATTTGTCCCAGAGGACTGGCAGGTTTACCACAGGTGACCAGTCCCAGCTGTAGGAAGTCCCAGGTGGGGACCTGACTCAACCTGACTGAGCTGTGGGAACAGATTTTCCACCAGACCTCGATGATGCCAGGTGCTGACCACCAGGCCAGGAATTTTTAAGAAACTGGCATCACGCTTGGATGTGATTTTGGGTATGAGCACAGCCCTGATGTACACAGATCTTGTCTCCTGCCACCAAAGCAGAGCTGTGTGCATTGCCTTTCAGCTCTCCAGCAGAACCCACAAAGCAGCTTCTGCAGTTCCAGCCCCAAGGGAGGACTGACAAGCAGGATGTGATCACCAGAGCTGGGATTTGTTCAGGAAAGTGATGCTAACAACAACACCTCTTTATTAGCAGAATAAAAATGACCCTTGGGCTCTACATCTAGTAGATGTATCACTCTTACAGTTCAGTAATGAAATAGCTGCCTTGGCCAGACACCCAGTTCACAGAGCAACTCCTCTCATCTTCTGGGTGTTGATGCAGGAGCAGTACCAACTGGATTACCCCATATCTGGGACTCTCCAAAAACACAGGACATTCTCCAAATCTGGACAACATTCCTGAGCCAAACAGAAACAAGTACAGGTCTAGCAAAATACAGGCATGCTGTAGTCTATTCTCAGAGACCAAAAAAGCCAAAATAAATGTGAATATTAAAAAAAACCAAAAACAAACACCTGTAAAAGGCAAGTGAATTTTTTATGCAAGATTCTCAAGTCCAGAAGGAGAAAGTAACATACATCCCATAGCAGTTTAACAGCTTGAGAAAGATGAGCCTCATTGCTGGGTACAGTAAAACACTAAACATTCACTGGCTCAACTTCTTTTGCTGGAATCAGCATATGATAATGAAGGACTTGGAGAGCCAGAGGAAGAGAAGAAGGGTCAGAAGGCACAACATGCACAGGTATGCTCTGTCTGAGATGGGTATACAAGTGGAAGTTCTGCTAACAAATCTGAGAAAGAACCAGAACCAAGGCATTGATTGTTGTAGACTCATTCTTACCCTCTTCCTCTTCTTTCCTTTTTTAACCAAAGTACCCAAAACCCCAAAAGCTCTCAGATTTTGTTTCTTGTAGGACAAAAAAAAAAATCTATTATTGACAGTTTAAAGTTTTGTGAGAAATAAAACCACCATTTTCCAGACAGTTGTACCACAAAGATCCTGCAGTGCACATTGGACTGCATTTAAAACATGAACCCAGTGTTCTCAATTCTCTTCCTCCACCTCCACCCAGTGAAACCACATTGACCCTGAGACTGATACCTCACAAGCTTTGTTCCAATCTGATGTCTGATTTCCTGCCTCTCCTCTTCGGATGTACGCTGCAAGATGTTTTTGTCTTCCAGCTCTTTCTTAGATGGTCTGTTGCCAAGTTTGATAGCAAGAGTATCCCTACGACGAATTTTACTTGCCAAAGAGCCTGAGGAAAGGTGGAGTAGGGTAGATTTAGTTCATTCATGCTCAGGTTACAGAGACAAACTCCAGTAAGAACTTTTAAATACCTCCCCAAAGCAACCTTGTTCCCACATGCAGGAGAGGAATTTTAATTAACATCAAAAGAAAAATTTTAGCTCAGTTCATGACAACAAAAAGCTAAAAGGTTTGGAGGGAAAAGCTACGAGCCAAATTGATACAAAAATCACTTGTCATTTGTGAAGTGATAGGATAAAAATGAACAAATCTACACTAAAATGTCTTTGAAGTCTAATACGTTACAGGTTGGCTTATTTATCTACTTAGTATATTTAGCAACTGCTGCTCTTTTTCTTCAGCCTTAAATGGCTTAGTCTCATTCTATCATAATTTCCCTCATTTTTTCAACTTTTTTTTCAACCAATTACCACTTAGTTCTTTTATAGTGCTTTCCATCTCTAAGTTATTTGTAAACTAAACCAAAAAATACAGCTCAAAAAAGTGCTCAGAGTGCCTGTAAAGTAACCTAGGCAGGAACCCCCAGACACTGAAGCAATCTGTTCTCCATAAAACTGACACTGTAGGGACAAGGGCTTTGCAGCTTGGCCAGCATTAGCTTCAGCCAGCTGTGGAAGGAAGGGCATTCTTCACAGCCTTTATAGTATTTCCTTTGTGTCTTGACATTCTGACCGAGCTGGGCTACATATGCCTTAGCCTGGCAGATTTTCACTGTGTAAGGCAGTTTGGTAAGGCACAGGTTCCCAGCTCACTTTTCATAAGACATTGTGTTGCTGTGTGAACACGTGCACTTGTGGTTTCTATCACTCTGGGCTGCATTGAAACCCAACAAAGAACTGCAGAAGACTTCAGCCTCTTGAGCTACCTAGCACTTCACCTTCTCCTGCACTAGTGGCTAAGAAAAAAAAACAACCAAAAAACATGTTCATTTTGCCTCATACCACTTTGGTACACTGGACCTTGGCATTCAAACCTTCTTTGTTGAGCACAGTGAAGCACCTCCTCCAAAAAAGCTGTGAGCAAGGCTCTCAAACCATGGTTTGATGGTGATTTCATACTGACATAAAGCACCCTGGAGGAGGTAGAGGGAGGGCTGCCCTCCTTCATGCTCCTGACAGCCTGCTGCTGTCTTCTTTGCCCAAGCAAAGGTGAAGCCTTTGGGTGAGCTGGATCAGGGAACCACGAATTCTATTGAAAATCAGCTCCACAATAGCTGCTCCTACAAAAATAAACATGAACTCTAGCCTAAGGAAAGAACAGCTGGGAGCAGGGATTAGGCAGAATGGGGGCAGGACAACTCCTTCAGCACAGCAGGGCTTCTGCCCAGTTAAGGTGATGATAGAGTCATGTCCCCAGATAAAATTTCAAAGCTGTAAGACTTAGATGTAATCTACTGTGATCTGCTCTGTCTCCTAAGGTTGCTCCAGTGCTTAAAACACCCTGATCAAAGAGGAACAAGTGACTTTCAGACAGTGAAGCTGCTGACTGATGGGCCTCCTCTGTCATCCACCACATCTGTAACTCCCACAAGCAACTCATGACGTGGGCAAGCCAAATGAATGGCTTGAGATGCCCTAAGGTCTCCACCTTGTCCCACCCTCCTGTCCTTCTGAACCTGTTCCTCCCACCTCCACTCTCCTCCATGCAATGACTGATCTGCTCTCACCCATGCACAGGCCCCAGCAGGTTTCTGATCATGATTGCCTGGGACAAGCAGGACACTCATTTCTCAGTAGTGACAAAATACTAAATCATTCTAAATAAAAGCATTCCCTGCAGCCATTCCTCTCTCTGCCTCACACTAGCATGGGTCAGGCATGTTCACAAAATGCAATCTGCGAATGGCAGCCTGCAGCTTCCTGGGCAGGATGCTTACTTTCAGTACTTGCATTCTCGTCATCATCATCATCATCGTCATCATCTGTGTACAGGATCGGCCCGTCCGAGTCCGAGTCACTGCCATGGCTCTCTCTGCTGCTTTCACTCTCAGGAGGGGCAGCAGCGTCAGAAGCCTCCTCCACTAGCTCAGAGAATGCTTCATCTGGAGTCTCCCCTTCCTGGTCTTCTTTGGTAGCCAAGCTGTTCATTCATGAGCAGAGAGGGTGACACATAAATGCAAGCAGAACAAAACACCAATGAGAAGCAACTGAATAAGCAAGGATGAAAATAAAAGTTCTGTTAATCAAACTAATTCCTTTCTAAAAAACATACATATAGAAGACATGTTTAACATATGCAGCTACGTATGTGTGTTAGGAAAAAGGATGCAAACAATCCCGAATGATTGAGTGTTTAAAGATTTTTAACATATGCAGCTATGTATATGTTTCTACGTATGTGTGTTAGGAAAAAGGATGCAAACAATCCCGAATGATTGAGTGTTTAAAGATTGCATTAAGGCAAATCTTAATTGGTTTTTATTTCTTGTGGGCTGGGACCGAGAGAGCAAACAGGTCATAAAGCTGGGGGTGAGAGGAGCAAGTTGGAGAGCAGATGGGACTGCAAAGTTTCCTGTTCGGGAAGCCTAACCCTACTTATTGTAAATACAGTTTCACTGCAGTTGAGCTCAAAATGTTCAAGCTCATCACTGATGAACATGGAGATCAACAGCAGACTGCCCTTTGCCTTGGGAAAATCTTTATGTAAAGGAAGGGTAGAGCAGGGGGAGATGCAGCACTACAATGCAGGGCTGGCAACAGCAAGAATTTAAAGAAAGGTCTCTAGGCTACCTGCATCTAGACTAAACCCTCTTGTATTTATATAAAATATGCTGATTTTTTGTGGCACGGAAAAGACAAATTAATAAGCCAGTTTCATTATTCTGCCAAATATTTTCCTTAAAAATGTAATTATGACTTTTGTCTTGACCAGTTTTTACAATACCCGAGATTTAGACAAGTTATTAGGCAGTAAAAAACCAAACACCTACTAACTGAAGCCTGAAAAAACCCTCATTTTCAAATGTTCAAGTAAATTCAGCTATTGAATCGAGAACTTTAGCAGTGAGATATTTAATGACATCTACAGAAAAAAAGACATCTACAGAAAAGAACCCCCTTATAATTTGGCATAACTTCTTTTTTGCCTTGATGAGAGATAAATAAAAGTGTCATCAGCTTTGAGCTGAACTGCTGACCCCAGTGCCAGCCACACAATGAAGACACAGGTCATGAGGAACGACCTTCTGGGGAAACATGAGGTACTGCAGGTGAAAGGCTCAAAGGTACCGGGAAGGAACAAACTGTGCTGGGCTGCCACACAAACTGTTCCCAGTCAGCAGAAGAAGCAGAAGAGATCCCCACGTGCCTACGGTGCACACAAATGTGCACGACTTCCTTGGCTGTGGTCCCACCGTTCCCCCAGGACAGCCGCACTGTCTCACCTTTCCGCGTCTTCTCCTCCGGCATCCGGAGCGCTGCCTAGGGCTGCACTGCTCAGACTCTGCTCTGTGCCACGCTCAGTTGGGACAAGAGGCTTTGTGTCTGACCCAGGGCTGCGTGGCCCTGCCACACAGCTGTCTGACACATCCTGGGCATCTGAGGAGCCAGCAGGCTGACTAGCTGCAGCAGGAAAAGGAGGTGGAAGTGGAGGTGGAGGAGGGGCAGCGGTGGGAGGAGGGGGCACAACAAGCTTGCTCGACTGGTCTGCGTTCTCCGTTTCAAAAACTACTATGGAAGTTTGCTCAGGCTTGGGTTTTTCTGCCTTCGCTTCCAAACTGTCGGCTGTCGCACCTGAGGGGGAAGAAGCAGCCCCGTCTGGTGCTGTTCGTGGGGCTGACTGTTTCCCAGGTTTTTTCTTGCCCCTTGGAGTCCCTGATGTGCCAGATTTGCTGGAAGTCTCCTTAGAGGCTTTGGGATGAGATGACGTGGACGAAGGAGATGGTGATGAAGAAGACTTGGAGACTGGTAGTTTTTTTGCATGAGAGGAACCAGCTGAAACAGAAAGAAAATAAAAGGCATTTTACAGTCTTGCAATGATTTTTGCGCTATATTTTCTGCATGAGTTGATTTGTGCTGGTCTTCAAAATAAAAATACACTTGATACTTCTACAATACTTCATGTAAATACTTGAGATAATGAAATGTTGCCGTTCCAATTTCACCTTTGTGCGGGAGACGCTGAAATGATGAATACTTGCCCAAGAACAGCAGAGAGGACCAGCCTTACAAATGGGTAGGAGTTTGTTTTGAGCATTCTGAATTGGCCCGTTACACCTGGCCTGGACATCATCTAGGAAGTCCACTACTTATTCTAAAAATAGGTGTAGTGACTTAGCTAAAAAAACTAAAAAAGCTCCCTGGCAGAGAAAACTGCCTGATCTTTCCTACTACATGAATTTTTGGTCTGATCACTGTGAAAACCCTGTGATTTTCCATATACTTTTCAATGAACATCTGAGGACTGTTACTGAGTATCAGCGAATTACCTTTCACAATGTTATTGCAATTGGTGTTCTCCTACCTAAGGACAACAGCAGAGGGGCAGCAAAACAAGCTGTGCTTTTAAGTCCAGCTGGGTCTGTCCACAAAAGAGAGGCAGGAACCACTGCTGTCACTCTGCACAAATGACCTTCAGAAGGGAGGAGGCTCTGAAGGCTCCTGTATCTACTGGAGGCTTTCATCTTACCAGCGACCAACTCGGGCAGTCTTGAAAATGTAGTGAAACAAGGTTTTGACAGGAGCTGTACAAGGTGACTGTTTAATCCTGTGACACTCAGCATTTTGAAGCATATATGTATAATGAATTTCACCAGAGATTTCAGCTAGCCCGCATTTCCATGTGCATTCCAGCCACATTTCCAATTGCTGTGTCAATGTCATGCTGTGTCATCACCTGAGATGGGAGCTTCAAACTTCTGACTTCCATTTAAAAAGCAATAAAAATGACAATCATCTAATGGTTCAGTCCTTTTCATCAAAATGCATCTGACTCAAATACTTCTGATGTAATTCTAAAAATTCATTAACTTCCAGAGAACAAATGAAAGATTATAAAGTTATATAGCAGCCTTCTGGCTAAGCTTACTGAGTAAAACAGAAAGCTGTAATTGAAATCTGCTGAAAGGCCTACTTTACTTGTAAGCATTCAAATAAAAAACAAGCCCCCAGCAGATTGGGAGAGAATCAAAATGCAGATACTGGCCATAATAAGTTCACGATATAAAATCCGTTTTCACAGTGAGACTGTTCTCAAAGGAGACGGAAACTAATTCCAAAGACACTTTACTGTTCTCTTCTGCAGCTGTTATGGTTTAAAAATATTTAGAGAGCTGTGAAGCTTTCAGTATATCTGAAAAAAATTACAGAAACTTTAGGCAAATCCCTGTTCCTCTTTGTGCTGCCAGGTGACTGTAAAGGGCACTGTCCTGAATCAACTGATACTGCACTCACCTTCCCTCATCAGGCACAAATCACTCAGTTTACATGCAAAACAAAATGAAGCAGAAAAATGGCATCAGCAGAAGTTCATAATTACAATAGAAATAGATGGTGGTTCCAAACTGCATATTATTTAACAGAAATATTAATGAGTAGGTGGATGGTAGAAAGAAAAGGCTCTGATTCTGATCCCCTTCAGGTACAGGCTGGTACAGGCTGGAGGTCAACAGAACCAGTTACATGCTTGCACTTAAGAATTGCAGCATAGTACAAATATATCACCACACAACTGTGGCTGGGAAAATGTCAAAACATGTTTCCATTGTAAAAATCCTTACATTGTTCTCAGAACCTGCAATTAGACACAGAAAATTAAAAGATTTCTCCCACAGAAAACCCCCTATGTGTCCACATGGGTCAAAAGTGCTATTGCTGTTGTTGTTTTTGACTGGGCTGGCTGACAATTTTCTGTCATGCTTCTTTTTCAGTAAAAGATTTGAATTCTGATTAAATGAAAAATTTAATGGCTGTTGTTTGCCTTTTGGCACACATCCATGCCTACATTTAAGTCCCATTCTCCCAGTTCCACTGTTTCAGTATGGAAACCTGCTGTGCTGCCCTCAGGAGAGCCATGGCTCAATTGTTACTCATATTCCTCTCCTCCTTCATGAGATTTGATCGCTGGCTGCATCATGTGTTCACTTTCATGGGGATCTGACAAACCTCTTGTACTAACACTCTTTCAAACCAGCTCCACTGATTAAGTACTGCCCCACTTTGAATGAACACAGTATGTTTTTAATGTTGGAAGAAATTACCAGTAGAATAAGGGATATTCGTGGATATATTTCACATCTGTATGGTCTGCAAGCACTGGCTGACATTTCAGCAAGGCTAATGGAAGGCAAATCTGGAACCTGAATGTATTTTAGTCTAAAAAGTCAGATACCTGACAGCTTGTTACCAATCACTGGTATAAACAGTTCTTTATTTATTTATTTAGTGATGGATTGCTTTATTTCTGAAAGGTCTGTTCTTACAAGGCTGCTTCACCTAGGAAGAGCTGCATGTGACATACAAGCAGCAAATTCTGGATTTTCAAAATGTTTATTCTTGTAGTTGTCTGATGTAGTAGGGACAGTTAATACCAAGTTAATGAATATTTTATGGCAAAGTTACTATTGTAATTCTAGAAGTCTTGCAATGTTTTCAAACAGTCCTCTTCTGTATGCTTCAAATACAAAATGTGCCAAAATGTACAAGCTGTGAAGAGAAATACTTGCAGGGAAAACTGGAGGGACTGGAGGGCTTTGAAAGACAGACAGAGACTGAAAACACAGGGCTTGTATAAATTTGCCAAAACATATATGGAGCCCATTCATCAAAATACTGCTTGTATTCAAATGATATATGTATGTTTTAATTTTGATCATTGTCATTGATCATTTAAATTTGATTGATCACTGCAACCATTCAAACTCACGATCAGTACCTTAAGAGCATCCACCTATAACCTTTAATCTTGCATCACTGCTGAATTTTGATGTAATAGTGTGGTGATAAATACATGTGCTATGTGCTTGATGATTGATATTTTCCATTTCTAGTATGTACTTAGAATCACAGCACCTGAGGGAAGCCTGGTCATTTCTAATGGCTGTCATTTTTTTTGGTCAGCTAAACCAACTGCTATTCAACAGCCTTTTAAGATGCCTTCATGGTTTTATTCTTAATTTCTTTGTGATCTTGTCATATTCTCGAATTAACTGGAATAGCTGATACTTCCAGTGGAAAGTTACAGCAATACCAAATTAGTTTTACTTAGGGGTAAGTTGTGCTTGGTTCACCTTCTATCCTGCTTATTCTTGAGCTGATTCTCTGGATCATTTTTTTGCTGATTCTCTGGATCATTTTCACTTGAACTAGGAATTCAATGCCGTCTCTGATGTGCTCGGTGCTGTATCTAGGTTCACTCAACAGCGAGGGGGTCTGTGTGTTTGCCTGGGGCGTTTGTGGCCAGCAGAACCATTGCCCAGCTGGAAGCTCTCTACAAACATCCATGGCATGCTCCTCAGTAACACTGCTATGTCCGAAGGCACGAGTCACGGTAAGACCACGGCAAGCAGCCCCATGCACATGCACCCACCGCAGCTGCACTGCACGGGCAGTACTCACCAGCTTCTCGATTTGCACTGGCACCCGTTGGCTTGGGCGGCGGGAGAGGAGGCTGCTTAGCAGGAGCCTTTCCCTTTTTTTTAGCATGAGGTGCTTCGTTACCCTTATGGCTGGTGGTAGTGGAAGCGGCAATGGCGTTTTTTGGTGGTAGCGGAGCTTTTTTATGTTTAGGCTTAGGCTTAGGTAGTGGTGGAGCATGGGATGTCGGTATTTCTGGGCAGTGACCAGTGCTCTCTATGGGTAAGAAAGTGAACAGAAGCCAACTGACACAGACATACACCACGTAAATTCAACAGCAAGCCTCAAAACAGTGACTACTTCTGCTGCTTGGGCTCTTGGGAATCAGGAGAGACTTCATTTTCTGCCTCTTAATGCAGTATTACCTCAGAAGAAAATTACTGTTCACCTCAATTCAGGATCTTCTCATAGAAAAAATTTACCTGGAACTTCTCTCAGACTCATCTATTCTAGATGTCCAAGGATCAGCCTTTACATTCAGTATCCCAAATGAAAGTGCTGGCTTCAAACTAAATGCTATTGAAATGAGGGAATTCTATTTACTTCTCTAACAAATCTCCTCAGCTTCTTTTCAACCCTACCCACCCTAAAATCAACAGGCTGTAAAACTCAGATTCATGTGAAGCTGAATGTTAACAGGGCCATTTTCCCAGCCACAGGCTTGCACATGGCTACACAGAGGAAATTTTCCCAGTTTTCCCCTGAAGCAACTCATTCTTCTGAGCTGCACATTGTTTGCTCTTAGCAGCTTTATTTTGGGTAACTTCCTCAGAGTATTTTTATTCTTCAGAAACAAATGAAGCTAAATAAGATAGGCTATCATTTGGCACGAAAATGCTCTCCCGTCCTGCAGGTTCTTTGGATACTGTTACACAACTGCACTTTCAAGAGTCTAGAGTTCATTAGTCAGCAGGAATTTGGTCTTTATCTACATTCTGCTGTGCAACAGGAATGTTTCTGCAGAGTGAAAGAGGTAGCACTTAGGACCCAATATCCACAATCTGCGTTTCAGGAGACTTTGGACTTTCTTCAGGCTAGTTCTGTACATTGCATGACCAGTGGTGGAGGGACTACAAGTTCCCGAGTGCATCTTTTGTCTTAGTTTCATCCAAAAAAAAACCCTGGTTTTTTTGTAGCCTGCAAACCAAACAAGGGTTAGTGGGGATGACCAGGAAATTAATTTCAAAAGTGCATACCTAATGCCAGCTGTAATATTAATGTAGGTGAGCCATTTCCAGTCAATGTGTGATTTTGCAACGTTATCACTATGGCTGTAAAACTTGGTGTTCCCAGGTGCAAGAGCTGAAGTTCCCAGATGGGAATCTTTATCTATTCAATTAAACCAATTCTATGCCCATTTTGTCTCAAGATAGCCTTCCCACACCTTTCTGAAAATGGATATTATAGAACCAAGAGCATTCCATAAGAATCATATAGGCTTTGTTTGCATGCTACTGAAAATTGTGACTGGGGAAGAAAGAAGACAAGTAAATACTGCAGAGACTTTTAACAGTCTCTTTTTTCACTCAAGAGAAAACCATTTCATTTCTTGCATTATGTTCCTATTAGAGCCTCGCTCTTAACACACATTAAATGGACATTTTCATCTCTCTTCTTTCCCATGTTAAAGATTCCCAAGAGTTAAGCAACACATTTTAATTTTAAGATTAGTAGATGAAAAACAAATAATGTGCTAGACAACAAAGACATTATTCCTCGCAGAAACAAAGCCTTTCCAATTCTAGCTTAAGGCTTGTTAACAGGAACCTCATGCATCACCTGCAGTTATTAAAGCAACTTGTGCACATGTGTCTTCATGAACTGAAGGAATTAACTGTCCAGTGTCTTCCTCCTTTATTTCCAGCCCATTATAAACCAATATGCTTTTGCTAAAGCTTTGAAAGGACCATCTCATAGAAACCTTTTACAACTTTCAAACAGATTTTTTTTGAGGACAGATTCTTGTACCATCTCTTTGTTTTCCACAGAAAGACTTTGGACGGAGAAAGAAGCATGCTTATTTGTTACATTTTGACCTCCTCTTTTGCAGGAAAAGGGTCTCCTTGTGAAATTCTACCTACCTTCATTTAAAGTTGAAATGGTGATATAATTCTGAAAAAGCAGAACGTTTTAAAATCTGAAGCCCATTAATAACAAACATGTCAAGAGAAGATATGATTTTGTATTTTGAAGATCCTGAAGGACATGATGATCAGAAATAATAAGTGTAAACAATTCATTGCTAAATGTATTAACTAAAGACCCATAATGCTAAAATTTTATTTACTAGTAAAAAAGAATTTAAAACTTGTTTACTTATATACCATTATTGTGTTTTGTTTCAGGTCATTATTAGACAAAATTTTTAAAAATAAAAGAAAAAGATAACCTAGAAAAAGTAACATAGCATTCACTATATTCTAAAGTAATACAGTCAATCTACACTAAACTATATAGCTGATTAGATAATGTATATCAGAATTCATCTTCTGAATCAGAAAAAAAGGTACAAAATAAAAGCTTTATTTAGTTGCAAATAAACACATCCTAGTGACAACCTATAATTTTCCATTTTTCTTTAGAAAAATAACAAAAAACTGTAATTGAAAACCAAAACCGTAGCAGTTCATTCACATCAAAGTTCTTGCTTGCAGACTTAAATGGTGATTAAAACTGGCAATTTATATAGCATTTATTTTAACAGAAATGCCTTGCCATTACTGGAACCCTGTCTTTGTCTAAGACAGCTCTTTTTCATAGTGTTAAGTACCTCATTCCAAAGACTGGCAGACTCCTGCACAGCTGCATCCTACTTGCTCAGATAGTTACACATCTCATCCAGTCTTGACTGCCCCTTGGTTACCAGTGAACCTTCTTTTTACTCACAGCCAGAAGGAAATCTGTGGTGGAGGTTATTCTCTTGGACCATGCTGTTCCTCCTGGCATCTTACTGGCTTTGTTGCTTTTACCTTTGTAAGCTCCATGTTCTTATCTCACTGTCAGTCTGATTTTGCCCATGGTACAGTTTCCCATTTACTTGAGACAGAGATTTCCAGTTCCTACTTGACCAGTCCATTATATCAGCTTTTGACAGTGACAAGCCAAGTTTGAAGCAGATGCTTTTCATTATTTTTCCTCTGCTGACCCTCAGGCTTCATGAATATTCACTGACTGTCCTCCGTTAAACTCCCCTCTTCTGTGATGCCAAGCGGACAATATATAGGCTGCCATTATTGTGCTTTTTATCCTGGTCTGGTGTCCTCTTGTTTTCCAGTGCCTAATCATAATGTCCTTTCTTTAAATGCAAGTCCATTGGAAAATTCTTGTGGTTTTCTGCATCTATGTAAGATACTATAATAAATGGCTGGTATATACAGTAACACTGTAGTAATATAAATAACTAATAACTGCAAGAGGGGCTTGATCCTGAACAGTGACAGAGATGGTCTGATGTCTGTAAATGGCTACAGATACAATTATGTTGTAATTGTACCTCCCTAACATGATTCTGCTTGAACATGGACCCTCGGTCTTCATGCCTGCTCTTTCTTTTGCAAAAACAAGGAGGCATCTGAATCAGTTCAGACCCATCTATTTGTTCAAACCAATCCCCCAGGTACCTCAATACCAGCTGCAACACACTTTTATTGCTGTTGTTTTTCTTAATTTAGACATCTGTTCATCCAGAACTGACCTTTTAAAAAAGGTCTCCAAAACACATCAGATAGGAATATCTTTTAACCACTGCTGCCTTGATGGAAATATCTGCTGTAAAAGCAACTTGCTTATAAATTACCTCTTTTACAGGAAAGCAAATGTTAATATCTCATTCAGCATTTGGATCGATGATATGTTTATGTTTAGAATAAATTTCCCAAAGGCCAGATTTTCAACAAACCTCACTTTCAAACCAGATTTTCTTGTTTCCAGAAATTGTGATTGGGGCCAGACTCTTAACAAAGCTCTGTTCTCATGTAAACAGCTAAATGATGGTCAGATTTACAAAGTACTCAGTATACAACAGCTCTTGTGAGGACTTACCAAATCTAAAAGACTTTCAGAGAGATGCCAGTGTGCCACATGCATTAGAAAATCAGATTACTTATTTTGCAAAATACAAGTGGGACCTTTTGCAAATTCTGAACAAAATGAACCTATGAAAATGCTGGGCATACTTTCAGAGGATAGGTTGTAAAATATAACAATTTTTTCTTCCGTCAACTTCTAGGGAACAGAAGGCCAGAGCTTTTCTACCTGAGGATTTTGTCCTACAGAACTGGTATTTTTGTTTGTACAGCTCGAGCAGTGTCATGGAGCTACCTCACAGAAAAGCAGCACAAGTGTATGATCTCCATCCACTGCAAAGCACCCTCCTCCTGGAGGATGAACACAACACACTGGAGAAACACTATGTGAAATGAAAATTGGAAATAATGTAAGTTTGTTATCTTCAGCAGGATGACTCCCTGCACGATGAAACTCTTACAGAGTTTTGCAGATCATGAGTTTCCTTTCCAGACTATGCAGAGAGCTGTGTTTTGATTAATCAAAATCCAGGAAGCTGTCAGTCAGGAACATGGGACACAGGACAAGACAAGGTGTCTTTTGTCACTTTTTTTGACTCATTGATTGTGCTGATGCAGGTGGTCAACCCAGACAAATCCTTTCATAAACTTCAGATTTAACCAACTCCACTTTTTGTTCCTGCTGTTGCTAATAAAATTCTGTTCAAGAAAAGACCCATTCTAATTGTTAGAAAGCTTCCTTTAATTTCCACTCTAACTGTATTTCAATCCACTGTTTATTCCTTTCTACCTGTGCCAGCATTGTCCTTTAGCCATGCTCTCTCCTGGCTGCTTACCAACTGGCAACATTCATCTAATGCACTCAGGCTCTCTTGGGCTCTGTTGGGCTCTGTTTTGCTACACTGAACCAGGACAGCTGTCTCACAATGCTGTTTGCAGCTCTCTCTGCAGTTTTGAATTCATCTTTCTTGAGGATGGATACGCAGATCTGCACGTTTGCAGACTTCTAGATCTTACTGACTCCATAGTTTCAACAGCACCAAATGCAAGAGGCCTTGTAACAGAGTGTAGAAAATAGGGGAGGGGAGAAAGGGACAGGTGTAACATCTCACCTAAAGCAACCACATTCAGGTATTTTGCATTAGGTTCAAGATAAAAAAGATTAAAAAAAACCCCCTGACTATCATTTTA